TCTGCCTCCTAAGTGCTGGGATTAAAGGTGTGCGCCACCACGCCCGGCTTAAAATATAAAATATTTTTTAAAAAGACAAAAAGTTAAAAATTGCTAGACAAGCCAGGTGTAGTGCTACATGCCTTTAGTCCCAGCGCTCAGGAGGCAGAGGCAGGCAGATTTCTGTGAGCTCAAGGCCAGCTGGGGCTACAGGGAGACACTGTCTCAAAAAAAGACAATACTCTAGTTACTATCCAGCTTGCTGCTAAGCCTGATAAATTAAGTTTGATGCCCTGGAACCCACGAGGTGGAAATGGAAAACCAGCTACCACAAGTTGTCCTCTGACCTGCTGTGGCATATGCGTATACACAAAAGAAATGTAAAAAAAAAATTTTTGTTTTAAGCCAGGCATGATATATCCACTCAGAGGCAGAGGCAAGCCAGTCTGTGAGATGAAGGCTAGTTCTAGGTCGGCTGAAGCTACAAGGAGACCCTGTCTCAAAGCAAACAAATTATTCCTATTCTGGTAAAATAAATAAAAATTTAAAATTTCCTGAGCCCTAGGCTGGGAGCCCTAGCCAGCACAGTTGCAATTCAGTTGGTAGCGTTTGCCCAGAAGTATTAGAATCAATCTCCAGCACCACATAAATTAGGTGTGGTGGCACAGGCCTGTTAACTCAGCTTTTGGGAAGTGGAGGCGAGAGGATCAGGAGTTCAAGGTCATCCTTGAGTACATAGCTCAAGGACATCCTGTGCTATATGAGATCCTATTTCAAAAACAGAAAAATTTTGAGCCTTATCTTTCTCTATGGCAAACTCTCTGCAGAATATGGGTAGAAGTCTATTGAAACTCCCAAACCCCAGAGCAAAGGGCAGGTGGCAACCTGCCTAGGACCCAAGCCACCCAAAATGCCTTTGTCAAAACGAGCGGCAAGCTATGCACAGTTGCACAGGCCTGTCATCCCAGCACTAGGGAGGCTGAGGCAAGAGGATTGCAGTGAGTTCAAAGTCAGCCTGGGCTAAACAGACCCTGTCTTAAAAAAAAAAACAAGAGCCATGTGACAATGAAAGCTAGGCTTCCTTTCCACTGTGGCAGCATGATTGCATCTCTGCATCAAGGCGTGTCCCTTCCTGGGTCTGGGAAACCATGTGGGCAAACAGGCTGAGTGACATTCACACCCATATAGGGTAGAGGGAGCCTGTGGAGCCAGG